TTTTTTTTTTTTTTTTTTGACAGAGTTTCACTCTTGTTGCCCAGGCTGGAGTGTAGTGGCGTGATCTCGGCCCACTGTGACCTCTGCCTCCCGGGTTCAAGAGATCCTCCTGCTTCAGCCTCCTGAGTAGCTAGGATTACAGGCATGCACCACCATGCCTGGTTAGTTTTAAATTTTTAGTAGAGACGGGGTTTCTCCATATTGATCAGACTGGTCTCAAACTCCCAACCCCAGGTGATCGGCCTGCCAAAGTGCTGGGATTACAGGCGTGAGCCACTGTGCCTGGCCAGGCCAGTTAATTTCAATGCAATGAGTTGGCCACTTCAGTTTTCATGGAAGAGCTAACTGAGCCTTGCAACCTTGAGAAAGTCAGTTCGCTTCTCTGAACGTCAGTTTCCTCACCTGTAAAATGAGGATGATGCCTTCTCCATGTACCTACTGTGAGGATGAAATGAGAAAGTACAGGGATTCCAGGTAGGCAGAAGGGGGGAAAGGTTTTGCCTTTTTGATGTTCGGAAGGGACATCCACCCTGGGGACTTATCTGGACCTTGGCCTGAGCTATGTCACATGCCCATCCTTTGCTGCAAAGAGAGTGGGAAATGGAGACTATTTTAGCTGCACACAGTATCTCCTCAGTAAGAATCAGGGGTTTTTATTTGTTTGTTTTATTTTTAAGAGACAGGGTCTTGCTCTGTTGCCCAGGCTGGAGTGCAATGGCATGATCACAGCTCACTGCAGCCTTGAACTCCTGGGTTCAAGTGATCCTCCTGCCTCAACCTCATGTGTAATTGGGATTACAGACTACAGGTACACACCACAATGCCTGGCTAATTTTTTTTTTTTTTTGTAAATGATTTGTAAAGATGGAGTCTGGCTATGTTGGCCAGACTGGCCTTGAACTCGTGGTCTCTAGCAATCCTTCCACCTTGGCCTTCTAAGGTTCTGGGATTCCAGATGTGAGCCACTGCACCTGGCATAAAACTCAGGGTTCTGACACTAGGAAAGAAAAAGATGGATAAGGCATTGGGTACATCACCACAGGGGTCTGCCACAGCTAGGAACAAGTCTCCCCAGACTAACTTTGCCTCTTTTTCAGTAGGCTTGGTCAGGGAGGTGGCAGGAGAGCTCTGGGTGTCTGGGTTTCAGCAAGACTAGAGGGGAAATGCAGGCTTCGGTGATGTGAGCGGGCTTGGTGGAGCAGCCATCCCCAGGGAGTAGCAGACGTAGCCCTGTCCATCTGGAGAAAGCTCTCCATCTGCCATCTGCCAAGGCCAACATTTCTATGCCAGAATCTACAATACCAGTGGAGACAGAGATAGAACTATCAAAAAGGCAGGTACCACACTGAATGACAAGTATTAAAACAAGTCTTAAAAATAATTTATCAGCTGTGAAACTCAAACTGCTCTTAAAAATTGTGTTAATCCAGGTGTGGCAGCACAGCCCTATAGTTCCAGCTACTGAGGAGGCTGAGGTGAGAGGATCACTTGAGCCCAAGAATTTGAGACCGGCCTGGGACACATAGTGAGATCTGGCCTCCTAGTGTTTATTTATTTTCTTATTTCCATACTTACTGGGAGGTGAGAATAGCGATCACTGTTTATCAGCATGGAGACAGTGACACATATGGGAAAAAAATAAAAAGTTTATTTTGGCATTTGCACTATAAAGTCACTGGTGGTTACCCTGGGTAACCACAGAGTTACAGGTGATTTAAAATGTTTTTGCTGTGACCGGGCGCAGTGGCTCACGCCTGTAATCCCAGTGCTTTGGGAAGCCAAGGCAGGTGGATCACGAGATCAGGAGTTAAAGACCAGCCTGGCCAAGATGGTGAAACCCCATCTCTCCTTAAAAAAAAAAAAAAAAA